GTGCTTCTTTACTTCTCTGCAGAGGACGGCGGGGTAAATGGAACGGCTGACAAGAAGTTCCGAGGCTCTGTCGGTTTGGCGCCTATGAGCAACCCCTTGATGGATCCTTTTGCTCCATACTCAGGGCCAGGTATTATGCAACAGTGAGTGCTTGCTGCTTTTATACACTGTCATAAAAATGATTACTTCCCTGTCCCCCATCTGATCTCAGCATGCTTACAATTACCTGAAGCTGTCTTCTCTTAGTAGATTGAATCAGGTTGCCAACCCTGGGATTCCTTCAACTTATATACAGCCTCCTGATGAGTCGGTGAAACTCCGACGAAACAGTTTGTCACAGCCCCTCGTTTGTTGTCTTCTTCTCTCTCTCTGCCTACGGTTTTACCGGGCAGTTCTGTTTGTGACGATATATATATGTGACGATATATATCTATCTATATATATATATGATTATATATTCACACTTAGGAGCTCCTTTTCTTTACCTCTTTGCCTTTTGGCTGCGTGCAAGTGGGTCTTTATGACACATGGGGATGGGGGCAGCCAGCGCTCAACCTGTCATCTCCGATTTCCAGTGTGACAATATATATATGATTCGGTGGCAAGAAAGGGAGGGAAGATCCTGTCATTGCCTGGCCACGTTTTATTGTGTGATTGTCTTGTCTGGTTCCTGATTTGACGATCGTGCATCTCTCTTTTCGGTAGCTGTGATGACTCTCTTGGACTGACATTAGATTCCTCAAAGAGACGGAAACACAGGCATGCCTGTAAATGCCTGTAATGGAGCGCACTCCTGCTGTGATATGGCAGGCATCCTGGCCGACGGCCATCAATGCAACACCAAGTCGGCCAAAACAGAGATGGTCCAGGGCAAGTACAAGACTTCACACTTACAAGCGCAGGCGCAGACGCGMCACAGCAACAGCCCGCAGGCATACAAAGGAGCTCCTGAGTCAGTAGATCATGCATACCAATAGTGTTGGTCAGCAGCACAGATTAACTCAAACAGGAGCCGCTCCTGTTTGAGTTAATCTGTGCTGCTGACCAACACTATTGGTATGCATGATCTACTGACTCAGGAGCTCCTTTGTATGCCTGCGGGCTGTTGCTGTGKCGCGTCTGCGCCTGCGCTTGTAAGTGTGAAGTCTTGTACTTGCCCTGGACCATCTCTGTTTTGGCCGACTTGGTGTTGCATTGATGGCCGTCGGCCAGGATGCCTGCCATATCACAGCAGGAGTGCGCTCCATTACAGGCATTTACAGGCATGCCTGTGTTTCCGTCTTAATGCCTATAGAAATGAGGGAATCCTTTCCTGCTGACGAAGGACTGGCAGACTTGTATGGCTGGAGGTACATGTCGGTTGCTTGCTTCCCTATAGTACAGAGAATTGTGTTTGATTAACTTCCAGATGCATTTCCTTCCAGATGCATTTCCTTCCTTCTCCAGGTGTGTGAGCGAAAGTGATGTTCCATCTCATTGGCCTTTCGTCCTCCTCTGCCATTGGGTTGTTTATCCACCTGCCTTCCTTCCCGGTCGCTTGTGTAGGTTGTGCGTGTCTTCTTTTGCCTGATCATCCCTTATCAGGTAGTAATTTTCGTGCACGTTTGATGTCATTGACCAGCGTTGGATTGCACTGACCAGCAGGTAGCAATTTTCGTGCACGTTTGATGTCATTGACGGGTGTTGGATTGCACTGGCCAGCAGTTTTGAGTATTGAAGGTGACTGACTGTTTGGTCTCAGCTGATTTCAGCAGACATGGTAGTGTTTTTAGGCTACAACTTTTGTTCGTAGTTGGACTGAGAATTGCCTTTTCTTTAACTGTGTAAGCGCAGGCAAAATTGCGCTGTTTGTAGTTTGGAAACATTCTGAGGGGATGATCTGACGGGTCGTTGTCGGCCGATTCCATGGTGTGGTTCGGTGCCTTCCTCCAAATCAGGAGATGATCTGACGGGTCGTTGTCGGCCGATTCCATGATGTGGTTCGGTGCCTTCCTCCAAATCAGTCGTTAGCCTTATCTTTTCTTTGCAGAGTCGTTTAGAGACGGAAACTTCCATGGAGACCAGACACTGTCACCAGTATTAGAAGAGGGTCATAAGGAGGATTCACGAATGATTTGAGTGCAAAGTGAGCAACAAGGAGGCTTGCAAATCACTGCCTGCCCTTCTTCACCACCCTGGTCTTGCCAAAATGGAGCAAGCGAGTTTACTTATCTATTAGTATTAATTATTAGTACGACTGGATGAAATGGAAACACGTGCAGATGTAAAGTAAATGGTAATCCTCGCAGGGAAGAAAAATTGCAGTCTTGGGGGTGAGGGAAAAATAACTGTGCTGTAGTCGAATGGTGAAGTAAGCCAAAGAAGAGTTTTGCAGCCTCCTAATGAATGGCAAAAAAAAACATTGTTTGGAAATAAATGAAAATCAACAATGTGTGAAAATTGTGAAGGGGGTGGACATCCTCGGTGACTCGCTGAAAACCTCTCTTAGAAGCAACAGTTTCTGTTAAATGCAGGCTGGCATATATTCCAACTACATTATAGCTGTTCAGTGCAAGGCAGCTGGGTATATAGTGTCAGAAATTTGCCTACCAGGTCACCGACACTTCTTGCTTCACGGCTTTTAGATCTTCCACTGACTGGTCTCCAGTCTCATGATTTGGGGTTTGAACATTGGCATGTGGTACTGTCCAACCGCCACACCGGCTAGAGAATTGTGGAGGGAGCTCTAACAGTATGAGCATATTTGAGGGTTTTCTACCCTGTCTGTTGCAGAATGTAGTTATCTGTTTATATGCATGTTTGGCACAGCTCGCTGGTTTGGAAGCATGGTTCACCAGACNTACCCTGTCTGTTGCAGAATGTAGTTATCTGTTTATATGCATGTTTGGCACAGCTCGCTGGTTTGGAAGCATGGTTCACCAGACCATAAGTTTTCTTGGTGGAGTTTCTTTTTCTCTGCAGTCAGCGGATTGAACTCAGCAAGCATAAGCTTTAGCTGCTGTGTTTGGATCTGTACGTGCACCGGTTTTTGGGGTCATGTGGCGGCCTTGAGGTTTGATTTCAAAGTGGTTGCGTGTTCTACTGTCAAGTAAATTGTACATTCGGTTCTCCCTAGTTGCAAAAAGGTTGCTTAGCATTTGTCAACAATCATTTGGGCCACTCTGTTCATCTATAAGAACCATTTATAGGTCTACTCAAAACATGAGGTTGCATCAGCTGTGGTGAAGCTTGTGTTTAAGGATCTAATTTGGGATTTAGATAATTGCACATGGTTTTTGAAGCTTTCTTGCTGGGTCCTTTCGGGGAGGGAGGGAGGGAGGGGGAGAGAGAGAGAGAGAGAGAGAGAGAGAGAGAGAGAGAGAGAGAGAGAGACGATTTTGAAGCTTTCTTGCCAGGTCCTTTTTGGGGAGAGAGAGAGAGAGAGAGAGACAGGCTTCAACTGCCTGTGTATTGAAATGATCATGTTGAGGCGTGGCATTTTTGTTGGCATTTTACTGGAATGAATGTTGCCGTCCATTGCCTCGTGGTTTCTGCGGAACTGAATTGATTGATGACTGTGATTGCGACCCTAGTTTCCAACTGTAGTTCATTTTCACTAACGGATCACTCTCACTTGTTTATTGGTCCTAAACTTAAAACTTTTTTTTTTGCACGTCGCACTCACAGGGGGTGGTGGCACACCTGGCATGGTTCACAGCTATTTCAACAACTTAGGGGGCACAATGTATCAACCACCAAGGTCACTATTATTATCGTCACCACTGCCTGTACTTGGCGCTCCTCTCCTCCCTCTCCTCCTCCGTCTACTCCCCTCTTCTCTGCTTCCTATCCTTTCCTTCTCGTGCCTTTCCCCTCTCCCCTGCTTTGCTGACACACCCTCACTTCCCTCTTTCTCATCCATTCAGTATATATAGATTTTTCGTGCTACATTGTAATTTGTGTGGTTGTTCTTGTTCCTGTTGCAGTCAAACTTTCATGTTCTGTGAGTGTGATGTTTTTTTACTAGACGTGTGTATTCTGTTGAAGAATCGCTGCTTGTGATCTATGTCGAATCATACAATGTCTCTCTCCTCAGCAAGTTGTGTTTCCTGCATTTTGCTTGTGTAGTTGGCAACTGTCTTTCGCTGAGTTTCTCGTTATTCTTTGTTGCTCTTGTTTGGGAGCACCTGTGCTTGTCTGGACATTGGCCTGAAGGTTCGTATTATGGGTCTGTGTCACGCAGTGCTGTCATGGGAGGCTCGTATGGTGGACCTGAGCCCATTGGCATAGGATCAGCTTCAGGAGTTATGGTGAGTGCGTATAAGTGGAAAGGCAGGACAGGTCGTTCTGACTCCTGCTTACCCTTTCCTCCTCCACCCCTAATCTCCCTCCTCCCTTTGGCATTCCCTCTTTAACCGGGTCTATGCATCCCTTTGCCCTTCTCTTCTGACTTATGGATCGAGTCGCCCTCCACCACCTCTTTGTCTTGTCTCGATCTACTTTGAGCTCCAGCAGGGAGCAGGATGTCCATAATGATATCTGTTTTGCAGTCACTGTTAGATTCCTTGTCATTTCATGTCTTCATTTTGTTGAGACCTGGGTATGGTTGGCCTTCTTCTTCTTTTTCCTTCGTCGTCGTCGTCCTCCTTGGTCGTTATTGTCCTTCTTCTTCTTCTCCTCCTCCTCCCTCTCCTCCTCCCTTTCCTCCTCCGTCGTCATCTCCTTAGTTGTCTCCTTCGTCAACTCCACCATCTCCTTTGTCTTTGCTTCCTCCTTCATCTTCTCCTTCTTCGTCCTCTTCCTCCTCCTCTTTCTCCCTTTCCTTCCTCTTCCTCCCTTCCGCTTCCTCTTCTTCTTCTTCTGCCACTGCTTCTCCTGCTTCTGTTTCTTCACCTGCTCCTCCTCCTCCTCCTGTGTCTTCCGGATGTTCTGCCTAGGTCTGCATTCCTCCTTATGATTTAGCGCTCTCTCTGTCACTACTTTCCAACCCTTTCAAGTCTTTTCCCATCCTCAACATTTATTTTCGCCATGTCGTAGCTAAGGACTTCAAATTTAAGATTCTTCTCTTCAGTGCTAGCAAAATCACGTATTGGAAGAAAGAAAAACTTAGCTCAGCTCAACCATGTTCACCATCTACTTTTGACTCGTAACACAAGTGCTGTTGATCAATGGTTCAAAGGATGGAAATCACTTCTTGGAGGAAGATACCCTTAGTTCAGCTCATCCCCTATTCACCCTCTAATTCGGCTCATAGCACAGGCAGTGTTTGTCCTCTATTTCCTTTTCTGGGTGGAAAGACTTTGCAGCCTCTGCTTACCCAAGTGAGGTCCTTGATAGATGGAATTTCCTGCTCTTCATTCATAGCACTGGGTGCTGTTGGACCTCGAGTTGCTTTTCTGGGTGCAAATGCCTCCTCTTTCAGCCTCCGCTGCCTCACACGAGGTTCTTGACAAATGTGTTTGCCATCTCTTGGTAACCGATTGTGAGAAAGGAATATTACAGAGGAGTTAATGGTCCTGTCGCATGCGTCTTGATGCTAATTGTTTGGACAATGTCGTTGATTGCATCCGGGTGTGCAGCATTTAGCAGGCATGTCTGACTCTTTTTCTGATCTCCTTTGTGGGTTGTTGTTTTGTTACTTCCTTGGGTAAAAGTCATCTGGAGGCAAGCTTGGTGGGTCTAATCCGCCGTGCACAACACTTTTTGTTGCCAACCTTGGGCCTACATGCAATGAACTGGAGCTCAGAGATCTATTCAGCAGGTGAGTGAGGGTTTCCAAAAACCTGGGCTGTGCTCGGCGTGACTTCGTACATCGTAATCTTCATCCCAGCTGTTGTGCTATTATGAGAACTCGCTCTCGCTTTCTCTGTGCCTGTGTCAGGATCTGGGCAACGGTTATGTGCACGTGCGTGCTTTTGCACACGTCTTGCTTGTTTGCTTCTGCATCTGTCAATGCTTATTAGAAACATATATTTGGTTTGTTGGTTCGATTAACTGTGTGGGTATGGAGTGTGAAGGTCTGATGACGTAACCAACGGCTCTAGCTCAGCTGGCAGCCCCATGAACTGTTCTAATACAGACCTTAGTTCGAATCCCAATCAACTCAGATTGAGTAAACAACTAAGAAATTTACTATTTAGTAATTTACCTGGGGCTGGTTAGTTTGAAGATGATATCGCGAGGCCGTTGATCGCTTTTCTGAAAAAAGAAGGATATGGTGACCTTTCCGCACATCCCCTCCATACAGACTGTCTGAGGTGACAGGGGTGAGAATCATGTTGCCCATCCAAGGACTGTCATCAGTATGAGATATTTTGTCTTTTTTGTTTTCCCCTGTATGAGATGTGTTGTCTGTTTACCCAGACAGGAAGTACTCCACCAGAACATGCCAACCCAGTGAGCTTGTTTACATTTACATTTACATTAGTGTCCTGTTTTGTTTCTGTCATGGAGATGTATGTTCATCAATGTGTATGTCCAAAAAGTTATCCGGTTCAAACCCAGTGTTTCAATTATGTGGCAGTTGACATGCCCTTTGTGTGGTGGTGCAAGTCCATCATGCCCCTCCACTAGCTCGTTAGAGCTCTTCTCCCTCTAGAAGAATTCTTATCGACTGGTGATGAACTAGATAAGCAACACTTCGGTGTGGTTTTCCCTCTTTGGACCAAGTAAATGACTGTTTCCAAGTTAATCCTGAGTATTTCGCACTCCTGACACTTCCCCCATGTTACTTGGTATGAGATGAACTTCGCTTGGGAGTCTCCTTCCCTTCTTCTTTCTTTTGATAAGGGGAGAGGGTTAATGGAAGGGCCCAAAATTCGGTTTTTTTTGCCGCACCACCACAAGCATAAAACATTTTGCGAGCAAACAATGCAGGCTCACTACACACACACACAAAAAAAACAAGCAGGCGAAGAAAAAAACGGAAAGAAAAACACACTCGAAAGCACTAAAAAACCCTATTCCGAGTTTGCCAAAATTTTCTCCGAATTCAGTGTTTTTGCCATCTTTTTTCGTCACCGGTCCAAATACGTCGAAACTGACGAAATGTGTTGAAAGTTGAAACTGAATACAGATATACCCTAAAGCACATACATATCACACCCGATAAAAAACAAGAAAAAAAACAAAAATTCAGGGAAATATGGCAGTTTCGGTGAAAAATTCGCCAAAAATGACACACCACCTGTTATTAACCATTAGTGTTGATAAGCGAAAGCTCGATTTGGTGTCAGGTCAGTGATGGGGACCTCTCAGTCCCCGATTTCCAAGTCAGTCCTCTAGGAGATGTATACATGATAGGGGAAAACTTTTCTATGGTTGTGGTGAGGTCTAACTTTGCGAGTGGCATCCCTTTAAACAACCAGTACATCCAAAAAAAAACAGATTCGTGTGTTGATTTGACGTGATTAATAAAAGCTAGCAAGAGGATCCTTTAAAGACTCTGAAAAGAAGTAGATACAAGAAGTTATGGAAACTGTTTTGGCAAGTACGACATTAATCAAATTGTCTCATAAGAAAATTAAAACATTTATCTTTGTCCGATGAATCATGAATGTAAAGCAATCATTCTAGTATCTCTTCTGGGACATTGGTCGCTCGATGGTTGCCCGCCTCATTCACCAACCGCAGGTAGACCGAACATTCAAGAGTGCGACTTGGGTTACCACAGCCTGGCGGCTGCCTCACAAGGTTATTCTAGGAATTCTTTCAGAAGAAATTGCTTGTAGGAAATTTATGAGCTTAGTCCGAAAATCCTAAGTGTTGGATATGCTCTTACGTTCTTGCGAACGCCTCTACTATGTCACATTGCGTTACATCAATTGCACAAATACATATATGAGACCCTAAAGGAGCAATACGACAAGCACGAAGTGGCAGACACGAACTTTCGACGTCCTAGCTATGTGCGATACGCAGATGCAGAATAGAGGTTGTTGCAGGACCTCATCCATCGTTCTTGGTGGCTCTGTTTGTTTAAGAAGTACTGTCCTCCAAGCTGTGAGAATGGTAGCGCAAGAGGGGTTAAGGGCTAGGGCTAGATCTAGTGGTCGGAGTGATGATGGCCACCTTTGTCCTTTTGGGACATCATTTTTTTGCTATGCACTCTCTAGCCATGATCCAGAAGGTCCCGTCCATATTCTGCGGTGTCTTTACTGGGGCTAGTTTCGGAATACTGTAGAGCGCCGTTCGTGTCCATGGGATAAAGCTGCGGTGTAGGATCCTGATTATCTGGCGCATTTCTGATGCCAGGTCTTTTTGATTGGGCTCTAGTAGACCTATCCATACTTCCTCTGGTCGTCTAATAATTGTATATTGAGAAGCGACCTTGTGGATACATGACCTGTCCAGACAGGATATCTGACCTCCCTGTTAAGCTCTTTTAGGGCCTCATCCGGCGGTGAGCAGATCGTGGTCATGTGCCAAAGAGTAGAGAAGACTGAAGTGTTTGTGATTGTTACCCGCCCTTGGAGGGAAATTTGAGCCCTTCCTTCATGGCAAGAGTAGTGAGATTGCTTTGGATAACGGGCTATGCCGCATCCCCGATTAAGCGCGTGTCTTGTTAACCATTGTGCTCGTATAGAGTAGGACCTTGTCACCCTTTGCCTATGTGAGTTGGTCTGTCGGTCTTTCAGGCTGACCCTCATTTCTGATGCTTGTCTAAATCCCTCCCTCCACTGCGCTCATGAGGGCTGGAAAGGTCCGTTAGAGGCTGGTATTAGTAGGACTATTAAATCAACTGCAAATATTAGGGCTGCTGGGAATGGGGTGTAGCTGTGGGGTGGATTGATGCGTTGAACCTGTCAGTCTGTCTGTCGAGGCATGGCATCCTTTTTTCAGAAAGGATGCTATTGCCTCCACGTTGAAGAAAAGATCCGAGGGGCCAATGTGTCACCCTCGTCTGGTGACCTCGTGATTGGGTTCGGGTCAGATAAAACCTATCCACTTGAACCAACCCGTTAGCATCACCATTGTATTGGATTTGTAAATTTGTTTATCCGTTTCCCGAAAGTCTCCCGTCTCCGTCTTTTTCAGGCACTCGTGCAGGAAATCCCAGTTGACCTGATCGTAGGCTTTTGCAAGACAGAAAAATATAGGGTGGCGTTTTGAAGAGGGGTTTTCAAAACCTGCTTGGCGGGCCTTGTGCAATGACATTACATTATCAAAAATGTTGCGACCCACGATGAGACCCACTTGGTCTAGATGAATGGAAAGCGTTGTCCGTCAGATTTTGGATTCTGTTGGCGAAAGCTTTGGCTAGTATCTTACAAGTGACCATCGATAAAGAGATTGGTCTGTCGTTCTTCACAAGTCTTCTTCCTTATTGCCTGTTTCTTTTTCAAAGTCTTTCTGTAGCAGAGGCCAGAAATGGGCCCATAATTCTTTTTTTATACCACCAGCTTGCCACAGGTTGTCATTGTCCATCATCTCAATTCTTGAAGTTCCCATAATGGTTAAAGGGTTTATCTAAACCTGTTCACAGTTGCTGCCGCGCTGCTCTGACCAAGGTTTATCTAGGTCATTGGTTTGAGTGAGGGGGTTTCGGTGCTTAGTGTGTCAGTTGGATATGAGAATCAAGTGTTGCATTTTGGTGACAATGAGATTCTCGAAAGAGCGAGCTTAGGCCACTATCCATATCATCCCACAAACAGATTGGAGCATTTTAATTTATTTTTATAAAAAGGCTGCCATCCATATTATCCAGGATTTGCCGTTCGATGTGGACCGGAGAATAGGGTTTGTCAAATCACGAATAGTTTAGGGGGAACGGGTTGGAGAGTGAAATGGTGGAAGGGTATAGTTCACAAGTTCTTCCTCTTCTGGCTATTGTTTGTTCTGGCCAGTAGAGGGTACAACAGCAAAGGGGCTTCAATGCTTTTGAACTGATATGCTTTGTGCATTTATTGCAGCTGTCCAGGCTTCGTGAAACTTCGGATTCAAATGAAACGTGGCGCACCTGTTGCCTTTGCTGAGTTCCAGGTATGTGGCTTCTTCTCGAACGAAGAGCACTGGAATCTTGATGGGTGGTAAATCTAAAAAAGGATGCCGTGGGTCCTTCGGGATGGGACCACTCAATTTGAATGTTCTGCCAGCGATGCCGTAAACTATACTGGCTGAGCACATGGTGAGAGGGCAAGCCAGGGTAGTCTATGGAGTCGTGCCTCTGGTGGTGCATTGGTGTCCTATGTTCTAAGTTGTTCCGGGCCTGTGTTCCGTGCGCTACCTGCATGGAATGAGGGGCATGCTTGTTCGTGGGGTCTGAGAGATATTGTTATGCTGTGTAACTCTGAATATGATTCAGCACCTGTGGGGTCACAGTCTCAGATGCGCAGGTGTAGGTTGGAGACTGCCACTTGATGTAGGGGGTGCTTGCAGTGCAACTGTGCATCGAGTCGACAGATGTGGTCACTCGCCGTCAGCTACATGGACGGTGGGAACCTCACACTGCTATGGATGCTCTATATTTGGTCTATATCAGCTTGACATTGTCTTGGATGGAATAGAGGTTGTCGGTGAGTGATCCTTGATAACACACATTATACAAGTGTGCCGCTTCGGCGGAAGAGGGGTGTGTGGGCACTTGGCGCTCAACCACACAAACGTTGCCAACCTTGCATCTTCTACCATATTGCACATCTATACCTTCTTTGTTTTATGGATGGTTTGTGACGGTTTGTGGATGGAATGAGAGAGCGTTTTTTTGGTTTTTTTTTTCGAAAAAAAAACATAAAGTGCAAGTGGGCCATTAAGGCACACAAGGATGTGGGGCAGCTGGTGCTCAGCCAAAATGATCATGGGCAGCCTTGTACGTGAGAGGCACAGTGGAACGGGAGATGCAAGAGCAAGTAAAAGGGGTACCCCAAAGAAAACGAAAGCAAAGATACTTAATCCACCAGTACTGCCGTGCATTGCGGCCTTCCACTGCGTGCCAAGCTTCACCGAACTGCCAGTGGTGCCCTTTTTCTTGTTTTGCTTGTGCCACCCGCCGCTGTGGTACGATAGACCCCAGTCTCCGAAATGTTTTTGGCAGGTGACGGAAGATTTCTCCACAAGGCCAGGGCCGTGTGCTGGCAGTTTAAGAAAGGGGTATAATGGCAAAGTAAAAAAGTCAAGAAAGGGATATTACGGATATTCTGCTCCACGATGCTTGCTATAGAGGTAAAACCATTTCATTGTTGGAACGAGTCATCTCAAGTGTGCTTCACTGTCTGCAACAGAGGTAAAGCTGCATAGAATTTGGATATACTCATCTGGGTGGAACAGGGGCTGTAGTGGTGAAAACCTACAAAACACACACACACACACACATCTTCAACTATATTGTCTTTATGTATCCCTTTTTTGTTTCGTGGATGGTTTGTTTTGATTAGTGGATGGGGTGAGAGAGAATTTGGTGTTTTTAAAACACACACAGACAGGGGCTGAATGTCTCTGCGGTTGTGGTTGGCATGCCTCTGTGTTCATAGCATGTAGGAGCCAGGTAGCCTGTGGCATCGTCCATGCTGTGCCATCCCGATGCTTCAACTGCAACTGCAAGAATCGGATGTGGTGCTTCCACAGTCCACACCCGAACTGGTCCTGTCCGGTCTGTACGGGTGGCCACGTACCATAGGCAACAGCTGGCCCCTCAACCTCAAATTCCCCTGCAACCCAGACACTGACAGGCCTCTTGTTCCATTCTATAGTAGTCCGCTCCTATCGAGCACCCTGTGAAGTTTGTCTTTCCTCTGTTCTATTCCTTGTCCCTCCACTTTCCTAGTCTTTGCCTTCTCCATACCCCCTTCCTCGCTTCCTGTAGAACTGTACTCCCTACATATTCCGATCCTTCCTCCTTCTGTGTACTACTACTAGCTGCATATGAGCATCATTAAGAGAACAGACGAAACAATAAGCTGAAGATCTGAGGAACAGAGGAAAAATGAATCGGAGTATACCTCCCCTTTTACGCTGCCTCCTTTCATAGCGTGCAAGTGGGGGCTGTTATGCCTCCCGGAGATGTGGGCAGCTTGTGCTCAACCACAATCAACGTGGTAAGCCTTGTACATCAGAGGCATGGTATAATCGGAGCTGCAATAACAAATAAGAGCAGTACATTAAGGAAATGCAAAGTAAAGATCGCCAGACAATGGATATAGCGGATCATTTTTTTCAACTTTTTGTGCTTCATGTTGCTCGCCATAGAGGTAAAACCCTCTCATCATTGGGATCCCTCATCTTTAGTGTGCTTCATTGTCTGCAATAGAGGTAAAGCTGCTTCGATTTTGGGTCCATTCATCTGTGTGGAACAGCGGCTATTGTGGTTACAATTGACAACACACACATACATGTCTGCTGAAACAGACTGGCACGCCCGTGCTTCTTTTTGGAGTTGTATGTAGCGAGCATGACAACAAAAAACACATGGCCGTGCTACGTGGCGATGGTCGTTTGAAGGTTATTGACGTTGTGTGCTCCATCTGGCGATGGTTGTTTTGTGCAGGACATTCACTCGTCCACGATGGCAATAAACCAGCTACAAAATTATATGCTGCCCTCTTGTGACAGAGGAGGAGTGAGACTAGAGTATCCTTTCAGTCTAACAAAGTTGGTTCGCCTCCCCAGGATTGTGGATGTTACAGCGCTCCACAATTCCAGTGGAGAATGGAATCGGTTGATTCGCAGGCTACCAGAATGGCCCGGGAACAGTTGCCCGGCCGGGCCGAAGTATATATTTAAAAAATCTAGGCTACAAGAGAGGCCCGGGACCACTTGCCCGGCCGGGCCAAAAAAATAAAATAAAAATAAAATATAAATTGTTTTTTTATTTAATTTTAAATTTTAAATTTGGTAAAGAATTTCGATGTGAACCTGAGGCAAAAGTTGTTCAGTTTATTTTTCTGCATAACATAGTTTTTTTACGGATTTTTTCGATTTTTTCTTTTTGCTAGGTCCTTCCCTGGTCCTTGCACGGCCGGGCTGCCCGGAAATAGAGTGACCCGGGCGGGCCAGCTGGTAGCCAAGAAGAAAATAAAAATGCAATTTATTATTTATTTTAAATTTGGTAAAGAATTTCGATGTGACCCTGAGGCAAAAGTTGTTCAGTTTAATAATTTTCTCCACAATATATTTTTTTTTTTTGGAGCTTTTTTTTTGTTAGGCCCTTCCCCAGGTCCTTGCACGGCCGGGTCGCCCGGGGAAACAGGATGACCCGGATGGCCCGGATGGTAGCCTTGGTTGATTCTCTTTTTTTGTTGAAAACAGAGCCTACTGGTACTGGTCCCATTCCATTCAGGGGAGTGTCAGTCCAGTTCCTATTCCACCGGCAAGTCAAAAATTCATGCAGCATGTACTCACCCACTCTCCTCCCCATCATGTCTGGGAGTCCGGAGTGGACGGCATCGACTCTCCATCTAATTTTGCCAAAACAGAATAAAATTTTAGTACTCTTCTCCCGAAAATAACGTGAGGTGCTGTATGTGTTTATAATGCCTTGGCGTTGGCAGCTTTGGTGAGGTGCACAAACAATTATTATTATCTAAACAATATGCCAAAATCAACTGGTAGTGGGTGCTTTGCAGAGTTTTGGCGTTTCATCTTCAGCCCTCCAATCTTCATCTGGCCAGTCGGGCCTGTGAGTGCGGTGCCATGAATTCTCTGTTCGCCATGCGTTAGATGTCTTGGAATCACGGACGAGTCTTCCTATTCGTTTTACGTCGTTGTGCTTCTTGACTTGCGGCATGGTTGAAAGCGAGACTGTGATCTGATGCCACTCCGGGAACCGCACTCTCGAGTGAAAAAAAAACACATCCAACTCAGTGCAACGCGGTCAGCCAAGGCGGACAGAAAGCAACATCCCCTAGCGGGGCTAAAATGTATATCGGCAGAACCGGTGTTGCAAAAGGAAGGAGTGGCTGCCAAACGTTAACAAGGCCCAACCCAGCCCTACAATGTGCCCTCCCTGCCCAAATGCAGATATGAGTTGGTGAACTGTATGATACAGAGACGAATCTCCACCGCCTACACGCACACATGTTCACACACAGCGGTCCAAGGCAAACACACACGCCGACACGGACAAAGGCACACACATTCACACAGACGAGTACTCACAAACAAGCATGGACGAATAGGTGCACAGACATACAGTCGTGCTTTTTCTGTGGAGTTGTGTATAGCGAACATGACACGTTCAGTGACACATGTCCACTAGCTACACACAAGATAAGTACATGGAAGATGCGTGCTCTTGAAGCTGATACCCTCTTCACATGTTGCAGGGAAGATAAGTCCAGCTCTCAGCGGGGCACAGAACAGGAGGGTTGAAGGGGTCAGGTATATTCGTTTTTTGTTGGCAATCTGACGCAGCAGGTCACTGAATTTGTAGTGCGGCAGATTGTTGCCTTCTCAATCTCCAACAAAATATTCAGTGGGGGTTGTACTCTACTACTCGCCATCCTCCCCAGCTATCCTGGTTTGATGTATCGAGTACCCACCATCCTTCCCAGCAATGCTGGTTTGATGTATCGAGTACTGATGCACTGTTATTACCAAACAAAAAGGATCAGCAATACCGCCGGTACCTAACCATGGATTCCCAATTCTTGGATCTTGCAAGGCAAATTAGGGCGGTCAGGTGTGAACACATAAACCAGGTATGTACTCGCCAGGCCAAACCCAAGAGTACAAGCCTCTAGTCTCCCTGGAAGCAACAGTGAGAACTGCTCTGATGCCAAGTTGCAATAAGCTCGTACGACCTAATCAATCAAGTCAGATTCTCTTTGCCAGAGCTCTGAAAGGTCCGCTGCCAAAGGAATGATGATTGAAGAATGCTGGTCTGTTGTCGTCTTGAGGTCGTCTTCTTCAATGCGGCTATGCCTGTCAATGACAAGGCAAGCTTCCTCCACCATGCACTCTTCTTTCTCCCACGTGTGGCTGCAGCCCTCCACCTGTCCCCCATTCCTCCCACCTCAGCCACTGGCTATGGTGGTCACCTAACGTACTCAGTTATGGCTGCCTGCCGAGTTCTTCCCCTCCCATCTCTGGCAGTAGCAAGGGGCAGCGTGCCAGTGCTGAGCGGAGTGTAGGGCAGAATGCATGGGCCGCAGAAGCGGCCCTGCTGCTACTGTGCCTAGCAGGCCCACATATCAGTCAGAACCGTTGTCTGAACCATTGCTCGAAGTTTGCTTCTAGAGAATTCTTGAATCTGGGTCGCACTGGGCTCGATCGTTGATCTATGCAAGCCTGAGGTACCTGAATTCTCTGCCCTAGCAGGCCTGGAATACCTGTCGGTTCGTCGTCCTATGAGCTGATCATTTCTCAGACCCTTGTCCAGGATTCTATCAAGACCTAGAGAATGAACAAGCGTGCATGTCATTCACACAGAACAGAAGGCAGATGGGCGACTTCTTTTCCACATTGAGTTGATTCATTAGTGGATATAAGATGACACCGAAACAAACAAAACAAATACATATTTGATGATTATTAAAACAAACTCTCTCAAAAAGAGAAAAATGAAATTTCGTCTTACTTCATGGTGATTATAGTCTGCTAAGACTGTTTTCCCCTTGGTCAACGCGCGAATCAGTGGTGTATCAGCACTGAAAAAAAAACATTTTTTGCTCTCCCTTTCTCCAACTTTTGCGCTTTCGTTACTATTAGATTGGTTGGCTTGATCCCCTACACAGAACATTTGATGCCTTTGCACCCTCGATCTTGGGTCGGTTATGGTCCTTTTAGATCAGCAATTGGCCTGGAGTCCTTAATAACCTGATGATCTATAGAGGACACACATATATGGCACACCCTTTTAGAAGTGAATTTCTGTGAGGCATTCTCCGGGCGTGGAACTTCTACATTGGGAAAAGAGGTTGGAGGAAAGATTGAATTGTCAGTTGCAGGGTGGTCGTCAACTAGTCGTGGAATTCTCTGTGGGGTTATGTTTTCCTACTCTCCCCGGTCACCCGCCCCCCTCCCTCGATGTGAGTCGAGAGACTTCCATCAGAATGTTGATGAAAACTAAAGTAAAGCTGTTGCCACTGGTACAAGCGTGCAAGTGTTTATTATAAATTATTAATGACTTGAGAAGTTGTGAGTGCACATGCGTTTTCTTTCGTTTGTTTTTTTGTTTTTTTGTTTGTTTGTTTGTTTGTTTGTTTGTTTGTTTGTTTGTTTCTTTCTTTTGAATGGGTGCTTAACAGAACTATGGTCTTCAGCCGAATAGAACGCCCGGTCATTGTAGCCATGTTTGGTGCAATTATCAGTCCAGATACGGCTATAATGACCGGGCGTTCCATTCCGGGGAAGACGGTAGTGTTGGGTAGGAATTTTCTCTTGCATGCTGTGTGCTTTTGCTGTATCAGGCAAACGTATGATGCAACGGGTAGTTGTGCTATTCCTTGACTCGATCCTCTCAGATACGCGAAGTCGCGGATGGGACTGCCCTCTCGACATCAGTCGAATGACAGTGGGGACCGCAGCAATTGATGTGATGGCAAGGAGAGTAAATCGGCTATGACGACAAACGGACAATGGATGCAATGCTTGGGCAAGTGGCACAATTGTCCAGGTTATGTTTTGATGGTGCTCACCGTGCACGTCTGTAGGCAGTAGATCTGCTCTTGGAGGTCGTAAGAGTGAGAAGGGTGACCGTTAGCCATATGCTCCCTGGTCGACTAGGGCGTGGTCTCCCAGTGACAGGACAGATTCCAAGTCAAAATCGTGCGGTTGCCTTTCAGAGAATAATGACATAAGATTTGGTACACTTGTGAGAGCTCTGCTGGCGCTCAAAAACTGCTCTCGTCAGCGCCTCCAGATTCCCAGCAGTACTTTCGCTGGCAGAAAACGGGTGTCAGGAATAGATGCGCCCTTGCTGGGGTAGTCCTTGGATGGGTATTCATGTTTGTGTATGATATTTTCCCAGAGGCCAGCGATGAACTTTCCAGCGTGTGTGTAGCTAGGTCATCGAGCTGGAGTCGACATTCGGACTCGGTTTAGTTTATTCGGCCCATGTCAATCTGCTGGTTTGCTTACTTTGAGGAGCTTGTAGGACGATGCTGTTGTTGTACTATGTACATGTCTGCTGGGGGGTCTCTTTTATGTGGATGCAGAAGACTTCAGCACCACCTACAGTGGCAGTTAGGCAAAGTTTGGGTAGGGAACAGGCCACGGTAATGGTCGTAGCACGTTGTGCTGCTGATGCTTACTCTTCCATGAGCAGTCCAGAGTATTTTTTCCCTGCCAGGGTTATTTCTCTGTGGGCGTCGTAACTCCTCAAAAGACAGGGCCGAGTTTAAGGGTACTTGCGAGTGGGCTAGGCTGTTGTCATTGTGAAGGTTAAGGTTGGGACCTCATGATGCAGTTCCGTAAAGAGCGAAACAGGTAGTGGGAGTGAGCTGAGGACGTGTGGAGCGGCGAGACTTCGTTGTGCAAGCCGGAGATAGACGCGCGGAGCGCTGAGCGTAGACTGGTGGAGTGTGTGTTTAGAGGAAATGGAAAGTTGTAGCTCAGTGCAATTGGTTGTCTGAGGCAGCAGTTATAGTGTCCATCAGGGGCAGGCTACAGCCACGACGGAAGATATAGGGTGCTAAACTTGTGGAGGAGGGCGGTGGAGGAAAAACAGTGCGCTGAGTGCTCAAGAACCTGGGAGAGGCATGCCTGAAGGGTATCCAGACTTGGGATGAATTACGGCTCCTGTTGAATTATTTTCAGTTGTCTCAACCAAGCTGATTCAATCGGATGTTTGTCTATTTTTTGCATGAGCATTTTGCTGCTGGCTGCAGTCTGTGAAATTTGTTTGGCATCTGAAACGAGGTGAGTACGTCATGCAGATTTGCGAAATTGTAGAGCACAAAGTTTGGTCTTGTGTTGCAAGATTGCTGCCTTACCTTGTGGCCAATGGTGGCATGGCATGTCATGTCATGAAGGGCGTGGCAGAGATTTTGACCCTGTTTTACAAGCTTGTCCTGTCTGCTGTGCAGCTTTTGCCGGGCTTCTCCTGAAGTGGTTTTGCGTATCTGCAGTTGTCTACCCCTGGGGATTGTTTCGGCATTGTGGCGTCCTCTCAGGTCGAGCGACTTTCACGTCCTTCGAATGCGACCTTTCTCTGCCGATGGAAGAGCGGGAGCAGGGTTTTTGATGGTGTGGTTCAATTCTGTGGGTAGGTAGCCATCCCCGCCCTTTGTTCGTGCACCTTCTGAGGCTACCGTCTTCCCTGGTGCAGCAGAAAGTACGGTCATTACAGCCGCATTTCCCTCACCTTTTAGTCCAGGTGCAGTAGAAATGACCGGACGTTCTATCGGGAGAAGAAGATAGCTAGCCGTCCCTGCCCTTTGTTCAATTCTGTGGCTAATCACCAATGCTGCTTCATGTCAATCTTGAATGTCCGTGGATACATTGCCAGACCAGATTTGAGTTCACTGCAGGACAACATTCGCGGCGGTCATGAGTGTGGGACTCTACGACCAGAAAAACTGACTACTATCTAAGTTATCTGTCGAGTCATGAGTGTGGGACTCTACGACCAAAAAACCTGACTTAGCTTTCTGCTGAATCACAATTGCCCGTTAAGACTGTAACACTAAGCCATAAAGTAGTACTAGCCCTCGTTGGGATGACCTGGGTTATAGTAGACAACACCTCACAACAAAATTTTCAACCAGCAGCACAGAGGCTAATACAAAAGTATTTGACAACATGTATGGGGGGGGGCATTCTTTTTCTCTCTCCTTTTTCGGACAAAAATATGTCCAGGCCTTTGGGATGCACGTATCTTACCCTTTGTATGAACCAGCTTCACAGCACCCACAAAAAAATGTTCCTTGAACCACCACTGCCTCCGATCCTGGTTTTGACTGCACACCGTCTTTTGCCGAGCCCGAGTCCCGCTGCATTTTCTTTCGTGTATTCTCATGAAAACAGATTGAATCACAGCAATCCTTTTCAAAAAACAACAAAAACAAAAAAAGTGATGCCTTGGACGAGAAAGCAGTCCAATGCGATCTCTGAAGTGCTGGTGTGAGTATGCCCTCAGTGATGGCATTACAGCGGCGTATGCTTTGGACGAGAAAGTGTCTCTGAAGTGCGTGTGCAAGTACGCCCTCAGTGAGGACGTTACAGGGGCAACTGTCAGATTCAGAAAAGAAGGAAAAACAAATCAGAAAGGCGCGCTTTAGATGGGAAAGAGGGTGGATACATTATGCTCTACCCTACATGAGGAAGTTGCAGCAGTCCCATGGAATGCGCCCTTCTTGCTGGCGGGGCACTACCAAGAAATGACAACAATAAAACAAAAAACAAAGCTCTCAAACTAGCCATAGCAGTGGTGACATTCAGACCGTGAAGGACTGGTGTGAGGCAGTCTTCGTTCACAGCCTCCACCGAAATCATGGTTCTTAACACAGTTGCTTCCTTTCTCGTTTGTTTGTTTAACAAATGGGCCCATAGGGACCAAACATTTTCTGTTTGCCGAGCCTCCTCGGGGCCTCCTAAAATTTGAGCGAGAGGAAGCCTTGTGCACAGTGTGTGAATATAAGTCTTATGCAGAACTTGAAACACACAGATCGTTCTACTCCATTCATGCAGTGTAAGTCGCAGAGTGTGAGGAGAGAGAAACCTTATTCACAGTTCAAAAACGTCACACAGACACATCCAGTGCTGCGGCCAAACAGACTGAAAAGTGTCTACACACCGCTGTGGCCAAGCGGGTTGAAAACTGTGGGCTTCTTTTTCTGGCCGCTGTGGCAACATCATTTGTCTCAGCATGCGGCCAGAAAAAGAAGCCATCCAGGATGAGGTCTGCATAGTGATGATTCGATCGACCGCGCATCGAACTTTGCCATTTCATCTTCTCCTCGTCCTCCTCGTCCTTTTCCTTCTGTCCTCTCGTCCAGCTGCTTGGTTTTGTCTCTTCCCTTCTGGTCGTGTTGTCTTCTCTCCTGTTCTGGCCATGATCCACGTCGTCTTAGCCCTCCCCACACCTCGACCTGCCACCACTTGCTCCCTCTCTGCCCTCCTCCCACCTAGCATTCTGACATGGCAGTCAGTGGGAATACTGCATACTGCCACGTCAGCCTTCGGCCAGAAAAAAGCCACCCGGCATCACGTCTACACTGTGATGATTCGATTGACTGTGGATCAAAATTTGCCACGTCAGGTTTTCCTCCTCCTCCTGCTCGTCCTCCTCCTGCCCTCCTCTTGTCTATCTGCTTCATCTTGTCACACCCCTTCTCCTCACGTTCACTTCTCCTGCTGTGGCCGTGATCCACCTCCTCTTTGCCCTCCCTGTATCTCAACGTGGCACCACCTCCTCCTCCTCCCACCTAGCATGATGATGTGGCAGTGAGCGGGAATGGTGCTCACTGCCAAGTCAGCATGTGGCCAGAAAACGAAGCCACCCAGGATAACGTCTGTGCAGTGATGATTCGAATCATTGCTCGTGGCATCTTACCTTTTCCGCATGGAATTTGCTATTTTTCAATTTTTGCCAATTAAAAAAAGAAAGAGAAAGCAAGTTTGTTGAAAGATTGCGGAATGTGCCATTTCCGAGGGGGCGGAAAAGCCAAGTTCACAGAAGCCCAATATGAAAATGGTTAGACTCTGTTATTGTCACCGTTTTTATTTTTTTCCTCTCTCTCTCTCTCTCTCTCTCTCTCTCTCTCTCTCTCTCTCTCTCTCTCTCTCTCTCTCTCTCTCTCTCTCTCTCTCTCTTGCACCTGAGCATGCTAGTGCCATTTATCTCTTTCTCTCTCTTCCCCTTTGCAGAGCAAAATGTTGGATCCACCTGTCTTTCCCTTTGTCTTTTTCTCTCTTCCCCTTCGTCGCTTCTTTTCGGCTTCTCCTCCTCTTCTTGTCAACGTTGTCTTTGCCGTCCATGTACCTCAACGTGCCATCGCTGCCGCCTCCTCTACCCTCCTCCCGGTTTCTCATCCCCCTCTCATGGTATGTCCCCCGTTCTCGCTTGTTTTCCGTTTCTCCTCCTCTCCACTCCTCCATCTGCTTTTTTGTCTCCCTTACCCGGTTCCTCATCATCATGTTGTCTTCTCTGCTGTCGTGGCTGTAATCCGTGTGGTCCTCGCCCTATTTGTTCCTTGACATCATGTTCACTCCTCCCGTGATGTATCTAACCGCAGTTACAACGGGACTCTTAATGTAATTGCGGCCAGATACATTCACGCCCAATTTTTCACCATTGTCATCCTGTGTCTTTCTGTCTCCATCGTTGTTGATCCTCATTGGCGCTGTGAAAGTCTTGGCCATCGATTGACCTCATGTCATGTTTCCGTGTCCTTCCTCGACATGGCAGTTATCTCCCGCTTTCTCGCTCGTTCTTGACTTCTCGTCCTCCTGCTCCTCCTCCTCCTCCTCTCCTGTCCCCCCTGCAGAACAACATAGCACCACATTTGCGTCCAATTCCGCACCATCATCATCCTGTGTCGTTCTCTCTCCTTAGTCACTGATCGTCATTACGCACACACACACACACACACACACACGCACACACACACGTGTCCACCTGAAACTCCACGCATGGGCCAAGATCGGCATGGCAGCTATGACAGGTTGAGGCGGCGACGCATGGTGCACGAAAGCATCCAAACACATGTAGTGTGCTGTGTAGTGGAGCAAGCCGCATCAGCGGAATGGACGAACTTCCATGGCTCACGAACACGCGAGGCCGACCCTCACTCCATGGGTGATGTCATTCACGTGCCTGTCCATCTTCCTCCCTCGTGCCCGTCGTCCTTCATCATGGTTGTCCCTCGTCCTCCTCCCTTGGCCTCTGCCCTCGATCATCCTTTGTCCCCGCTCTTACCTTCATTGTTGTTCCCGTGACTCTACCACTCCCTTCTAGGTCTCCCTCCCAACGCTCATTTCCTGCCAACTGACGCCATGCCTGACACTGCACCTACCATGGGCCACCACACAAACGGCAGCTGGTGACCGTGACCATTCCAGACGAGGTGGGAGTTCTTGCAGGCCCGGTGGTGTCATTTCGTGTTTGCCTGTGTGATTTCGCAGCGGTTCCTCGAGGGCCCAGGCGGGGGTGCAAAAAATGAAAGCAGAAGCGTGCGCTTCCTCACGGATTGCCCGTGGTGGCGAGTGTGGAACCCCACATCCTGTTCTCCTGTGCCCGGGCAGCATCACGCGAGGACTGCTGGCGATGGTGCGTGGACTGGGCAGGCGCGATGACGGGCCGGGGCGATGGTGGGCGGGTCGGAAGCCGAAGGTGACTGCGTGACGACGTTCTGAAGGAGACGAGGGCAAGAATTGTTGGCAGCGGATTGTTGGAATGGGCGGTACATCGGGGGCAGCTGGAGGGAAAATGCAGGGGAGGGAACTGGGGTCCGGCCTCCACTACACAACACTGTACATGCATTTACCCGCCCCAAGAAGGGTCCAAATGCATGTAGAGTGGTATAGGATATGTACGAAAAAATGATAGCAGTAGTTCCTGCCCTTAACGAGTCAAAATGATGGGACTGTCTGGGCCGCTGATTGCTCGAGATCGGCGGTCCATGTTTGCCGCACTTTTGAATCAGTCAGGGCGGGCCTGCTGCACCCTGTTTCGATGTTTTTTGGCCTTGCGCATGTCCTGGGGGGTGGAAAGGCCCTTGGCATTAAGAAAAGCCTGCGAACCCCGCTCAGCTATGGTGTGCCAGGACCGCCTGGCGGCCATTTTGGCAAACTGGCCAGAAGGCCCAGCCCCCGCCCCGGGCGAAGTCCAGGTCGCCATGTGGCCTGGGGAGCAGCCTGGGAATTTTCACTGTTTTTTGGCTCGCTCAAATGCTCTGAAAATGTATAGGTATGTGCTGTACATTCTTAAGGAACTCGAAAGGAAAAAACAAAAAGATCCCTGGCCGCCCCCCCCCCCCCCCCCCCCCCCCCCCCCCCCCCCCCCCCGCTCTGAACGTCTGGGCAGGTAACGTTGGCTGAGGCAGTGAGATGCAGGTAACAATGGCAGTATGGTAACCAGTCTGCGCCCTGAAGTGGTCACCATTATGCAGTCCCCCGTCATCTCTTTTGCGCCCACTCAGTTATTGTTTATGGCACCATTCTCCTCTTATGGTCGATTTGACTGACAGCTCAATCAAGGCAAATCATTCCTTGGGCATCTTACCCCTACTGCTTACACCCCTTATCCAAAAGCTGGCCTGGACTCTGTGGTGGGGATGAAACTGGCCCCCTGATGTTTTCCATCAATGTGTGTGTTGGGGGGGGGAGATGGGGGGTCGGGGTGTTGCATGCACGGATGTGTGTGCAAAGCGCTTGGTAAGGTTTGTATGTGAGTGTGCATGCAAGGATGCGTGTGCATAGCGCTTGTTATGTGCATGCAAGAATCTGTGCATGTGTCTGTGCATGTGTGCATGTGTATGTGAGGGGTATTTGCACATGTGAGAATGTGTGCATGGGAGTTTGTCCGTGTGTATGATCTCCGAGTATGTATGTGGCTTATCACTTG